CCAGATCCAAGTCCCCCCACCCCTGGGTCTCTCCAGCAGTGCCAGATCCAAGTCCCCCCACCCCTGGATCTCTCCAGCAGTGCCAGATCCAAGTTCCCCCATCCCTGGGTTGCTCCAGGAATGCCAGATCCAAGTTCCCCCACCCCTGCATCTCTCCAGCAGTGCCAGATCCAAGTTCCCCCCCCCCTGGGCCAATCCAGGAATGCCAGATCCAAGTTCCCCCACCCCTGGGCTGCTCCTTCTGCTGGCTTAGTGGCCTCCAGGGAGGCTCACACCTCCATCTGATACAACCTTGGGTTGCAGTAAGAGATGGGCGGGGTTTAGGTATGAGAGATGGATGACGGAAGGCCAGCTCAGGTTCGAGGTGACCGAGCCTCGAACTTCCCTGCTGCTTTTTCCAGGGTTGTCTCCAACACAGCCGTGCCCACAGGGTCCTGACCACTGCAGGAAGCAATGTGATCCCGACCACTACGTGAACGAAGATGGGCACTGCACAGCCTGCGTGACCTGTTTGGAAGGTGAGAACCTGTTCTCTCTCTCCCTGAAATGTGTGTTATAGGGAAATCTGAGAGGTAGGACGTCTCAGGATTTGATCCGCTGCTGCCTCAGTTTACCTTTCTGGATTTGATATAGGCAGTCACCTTTTGCATCCATACTTTTCAGAGAGACCTAGCGGGCTCCCTGGAGGGAAGACTCACGTCTCCACAATGGCTCCAGGGAGGACACTTTTCTTAGCTCGTTTCTGTAGAGATGAATCTGAGGATTCATGAGGTGAAGGGCCTTCCTGGTGTTGTGAAACGTGGTACATGGTAGAGGCAAAGTCTGGGCTGGTGACCTGGCGTCATGAGCCGCCATTTCCCAAGTCCTTCATCCTTTCCGAAGACCATGATGCTTCCAGGAAAGTCTCGAAACAGGTTCTTCTTAGGTTAATCGCTTGTGCTTAGTGATGGAGTATGGTGTTTTCTTTTGATTTTGTGTGGGTTTGGGGGCGTGGTTAGGTTGGAAGATGTGTTGAGATTTTCTTGAAACCTAATAATCATTTTAAAAAAGTTTTCAGTGTCTTTTTAAAAATGTAATTTGTTTATTGCACACAAAGTTCTTTTTGGTAAGATTATATTTTTTTTCTAGGTGTGTGTGTGTGTGTGTGTGTGTGTGTGTGTGTGTTTCTGCCTCCGTGTCCTGAGTTCTGGGATCACAGGTGTGCACGGTGTGCCTGGTTCATTCGGGGCTGGGAACGGCATGCAGGGCTTTGAGCATGTTAGGCAAGCAGTGCTCTTAGCCACTGAACCGTCTCTCCAGCACCGCCTTTCCTTCCCGTTTCCTAAAACATGGGATCCACAGATGAAACTCAAGTCCTATGCTTACATAGCAAGCGGTTCACCCACTCAGCCATCTCCCTCAGAGGGGACTTTTTCCTATACTATGGACATGGTGTTACCAAGTCCATCCCTCACCCTGATTCAGCTGGGGTGCCCATACTGTGGGTTTTGGCAATGGACAGTGTATGCCTGCACCCAGAACATACAGTGTGTTTTCTAAAACTCCTCGTGCTTCTGGAGTTTATCCTTCCATCCTCCACACCCTGCAACCACTGATTGCCCTCCTGCCTCTAGAGTCAGAACCTCATCTTTCTTTCTTTTTTTTTTTCCAAGACAGGGTTTCTCTGTGTAATAGTCCTGGCTGTCTGGAACTTACTTTGTAGACTGAGCTGGCCTCAAACTCGCAGAGATCTGCCTGCCTCTGCCTTTGCCTCTGCTGGGATTAAAAAAGTGTGTGCCACCACTGCCCTGCAAAGCATCATTTTTTGCAGGAGGCCCATGGAATCACAATGTAAAGCCTTTCGAGAATAGCTTGTCACACAGCGACATGTAGTTCAGTTCCCTCCATGTCCTGGGACATTATTTATTTTTGTATACATGCATGCTGTATGTGTGGCCAGAAGCTGACGCCAGCTGTCTTCCTCAATCCCTCTCCAACTTAGTTTTTGAGAGAGACTCTCTGGAGGCTACTGATTCACCTACACAGGCTGGGCAGCCCCAGGACTCCTCCTGTTTCTGCAACAGACATATGGGGTCCTGCTAGTTCAGTTTTTCACATGGGTGCTGGAGATCTGAATTCACATGTGTTAGGAGATCCAAGGAGAGGTACAGAGGTCCATGTGGCATCTTACCTTCACCCTGGACTGTTCCTGTGTTCCCTGGATCCCACCCTTGGCTTCCCTCTTCCCTTCCATCACCCTCTCTGTGTCTCTCAGGTCTTGTGGAGAAGGCTCCATGTTCCATGAACTCTTCTCGAGTCTGTGAGTGTCAACCTGGCACTTACTGCAAAACGCCAGGTGTCAATTCTTGTGCCCGCTGTTCTCTACACTCCCGCTGTTCTGGAGGCGAGGTCGTCAAGGTCCCAGGTGAGTGTCCCCTTCTCCTTCTCTAGCCCAGTTGCAGCTGCTGCCCAACCTGCCACAGGCCCTCTGGTGCCCCCCCTCCACCGTGGGGCCCCCTCCCCTCACAGTAGGTCAGACAGGCCGAAGCTTCTCTCCAAGCACTGTGATGTGCCTCGCACCTGGCTGGGCCTTTTGCTGCTCACATCTGTGTCCCATCAGAGGTACTCAGCTGGCTGAAGCCCAAGCCTGAAGCTTGGGGTTGGGGAAGGTTCTCTGGTGTCACACAAACAGTAGGAAGCCTCAAATGTCTGACCTGGGAGGTCCCTGACTAATCAGAGCTGGCTTCCGTGCCTCAGAATAGGGCATTGGGTGGGAGAGGTACCGAGACATTGGACACCGGATTCAAGGCTGAGAAAATTTCTTTTTCCAACTTACCTTGTGACCTGAGGCTACTAATTTCCTGATGATACAAAGGAGGGGCTCAAGGTCACTGAAGGAATAAGAATCATGGATCCTCTCTGGTTGCCATTAGAAGTGCTGTTTAGGGGGCCAGCCTAGGCTATGTAGTGAGACTCTGTTCTCAAAAAGTGGGGTGATGATGTGCTCTTTAGAAGGGGGTGGGGTCAGCCAAAAGGGTACCACTACAACACCACAACATGCAGATGGGGCAAACTGATGGTAAGGGCTGGGAATTGCAGGCCCTGTGGGGACCTTTTACAGTCACCCGTCTCCTTGGCATTTCTAGCTTTGTGGGCTCTGCCCAGCTGCCTGCATCAGGGAATGCTGTCTGCTAAGGGACACTGATCCCACTGTCTGCAAGCAGAGCAGGGTGGCTGAGGGACAGCGCTCAGGTGGGCCTCAGGCTGGGCTTTAGCAATGCTTGGTACCTGTGGGTGGGGCCGGTCCCTCTGCTCTTTCTCCCTACTCATGTGATGAGGAGATGTAACCTTCTGGAGCTTTCTCCACACAAAAACTCCTCTTTTTGAAAAACAGGTTCTGCTTAGCCAGTCAGGCTGCCTGAGGGTTGTTCCTGAGACTGCCACATGGGGGCGACAGAGGCCTGTCTTTGAGGTTCTGCCGTTGCTCACACTTGGCCAAGGAATGCTTAAAATGTGGCTGGTGGAGCCAGATGATGGCACACTCCTTTAGTTCCAACACTCTGGAGGCAGAGGCAGGTGGATCTCTGTGAGTTGGAGGCCAGCCTGGTCTACAGAGCTACAGCCAAGGCTATTCAAAGAAACCCTGTCTTGGAAAAAAAAAAAAGTGCCTGTTCTAGGTTGAGATGTTCCAGGGGGTTTCAAAGACCTAGCATGTAAATGAGAATGTGATGTATCTTGTTATATTTATACTGACTGACATAGCTCATTATGCTGTTAGGTTATGAATTTTTGAGACAGATCTTATTTTGTATCCCAGGATATCTTGTAAGTCACTATGTATTGAGGCTGGCTTCAAAATCACAGCAATCCCCCTGCCTCATCCTCTCAAGTGCAGGCATTACAGGGGTGAGCCACTATGTCCAGCTTGTGTGTGTTATTGCGGACAGGTCAGGCAAGTATTATATCACTTAGCAATACTCCTAGCCCAAATTAATGCATTATTAAAATGAATTTTTTATTTATCTTTTGAGATAGAGTTGCTCTGTTGCCCAGGTTGGATTTGAACTTGTGATCTTGTTTCCTCACACTCCTGTCTGCTGGGATTACAGACATGTGCCACTACAACCAGATTTATTTTTGTTTTTAGATTTAATATATATATATATATATATATATATATATATATATATGAGTATTTTGCCTGCATGTATGTCTGTGTACCACATGCATGCCTAGTACCCAAAGAGGCAAGAAGAGGGTATTGGATTCCTTGGAACTGGAGTTGTAGAAGGTTGTGAACTCCATCTCCTGGAAGAGCAGCCAGTGCTCTTAACTACTAAGATATCTCTCAAGATCCATCCTCAACCCTCTATTGAGACAGGGCCTCACTATGCAGCTCTTGACTGGCTTGAAACTCACTCTGTAGACCAGGCTGGCCTGGAACTCACAGAATTGCCCTTCTGTGCCTCTCAAGTGTTGGGATTAAAGCTGTGTGCCACCAGCGTTGGCTCTCTTTCCACCATTTTAAATGCTGTTTCCAGAAAACTAATGCTGGTGTAGTGACCCACAGCACATCCTGTCAGCGGGTCTGCCATGGCCACCTGACCCTTTTCAGCTCTGAGGCCCTGTGGACTCTCTCAGAAGGCTGGTCTGGTCGATTGGGGCTTTCCGGCTGTGAAAGGAGAAAGTGACTTTTGTTTCTGTGACGCGCACGGCTAACCATCCCCTCAAAGCTATCATATAATAGACTTTCTCCACAAGGATTGAGTGTTTGCAAGGCAGACTCCATCACTCCCGTTCTGTAACTGGGGAGTTGACCTCCCAGAGGTGGCAGTCGAGTAGCCCAAGAACAGAGAACGTCCTTTCCAGCCATGACTGGGCGCTACTGAGCTTTGTTAACTTCATCAAACTGCTGACCTTGCTGTGGTCACCTCCATGGAAGCCAGAAGCCATTGGGGCATCTTCTGACCCATGTGGGTCTTTTTCTGAGAGATGAGATGGGAGCTGAGGTGTGGAAAAGGACATCCTCTTTGTTGAGGCTTGCTGTTTATTACTTAGTGTGGCAGACTCGTTCACACATTGTTGTTTATGTAAATGGCAGCCCCGTGAGGACTGTGTTATGGTCACTTGACTGCCGGGCATAGTAAGGGTATGGTAGAGGTGAAGGGCAGGTCCAGGGGTACCTGATGGTGTGCGGGCACACACGCGTGCGTGTGTGTGCGTATGTGGAGAATAGTGCTGAGTGGCTTCGGGTATGACCAAAGCCAGGGACTTTGCCTTTTCTCACCTCTCATGTATATCTGTGTTGTTTTGTCTGTGAACTGGTAAGTAACCAGCAACCATAGGTCAGCCCCCTGACCAACCCAAATGGAGGGATAGATTGTCCTCGCTCTGGAGTGAACAGATGCTGGGAAAGCCACTGTCTCTGGATGGTCACTGTCATTCATGACTTGGCTTGGTGGTGACAGGTTCTGTTCCTGGGGACTCTGGGTTCCTCCATGTGTGTTCTGAGGTCATTGCTGTCCCCATTTCAGGCACAGCAGAGAAGGACACCGTCTGTGAACTGCCTTCCTCAGGACCTGGCCCTGATTGCTCCAATCCAGATGACTGCAAGACACTTACTAGGTGACTCCTGGCCTCATTTCTCTCCCCTTCCAGGTGACCTGTGGATGGGCCATTCTGTCTCAGGGACACATAGGGTACATGGATGGGGTCAGACCAGGCTGGCAGGACCCCAGGGTGATCCACCGCCAAGCTCACCAGTCATTGGAGACCCTGCTGTGTGTGTCCAGCCCTGCCTGGTGTACACAAGAGACCAAGAAGGCCTAGGGAACACAGCTCTTGCCCTCAGGAGCTCATAGCAGGGCTGAGGCAGGAGCTTTTATCCGCAGACACTAACCCCCAAGCCCAGACCTTGTAGACTCATCAGACTTCTGCCTGGCTTCTTCTCCAGCCATGCCACTCCTCAGGCCACACCTACTTTGAAGACCTCAGCCACTGACAGTATGAGGAGCTTGACAACGACAGGGAGCACCGGCCTTGTGCAGGAAGATGCTACTGAGCTGTTGAAGGTCCCAGAGTTTCCCTCTTCCCAGGCAAGGGAGCCCAGTCCAGACCCAGGTACTGTTGACTTGAAGCTGTGGCAGTCACCCATGGTGCTGCTCTCTGGTGAAGAGACCTGGTGGCTGTGGGGACTGAGGAACATCTCTAGGACACAGCCCCTGAGCCTGAGGCTTAAGGGCCAGAGGTTCTGCAAGGCCTACTTCATTCCCAGAATGCATGAGTGTCCTGCATGCCGGGGTCTGGGACAGGTGCTGGGTGTCCCTGTCCTGTACTCAGTGCTTGTCACAGAACAGGTGGTCTCTGCCTGTGGCCTCTAAATGTCCTCCTCGTGGCTCCCATGGTGGAGGACCCCACTGCTGTTTCACCCCTCTGTGAAAATGAGCAGCCTGTTCCATACAGATTCACCACACTTGGCTCATTCAAGCCGCTTTTAGAGGTTGGAGATGTTTCCACCTTGGGGCTCCAGGTGACTATTGAGTAACACACACGCGCGCACGCGTGTGTGTGTGCGTGCGTGCGTGCGTGCGTGCGTGCGTGCGTGCGTGCGTGCGTGTGTGTGTGTGTGATGCGTGTGTCTATGTGTGAGTCTGGAAGTCAGAGGATGACTTGTGGGAGTCAGTTCTCTCCTTCCACCATGTGGGTCCCAGGAATCCAGTTTAGGTCCTCATGGTTGACAGGGAGCATTTTTACCTGCTGATCATCGTGCTGACCCTTAGGAAGCTGCTGGGTACCATTCCCATGCAACCACAGCCTCTCTAATTTGATCTTTTAGAACACAATCCTGATGGTCTTTGCTGTAGCCAGGAATTCTGTGTTATGGAGGACCACCAGTCACTACCTCCCACTGCCTCCCACTGCCCCACACTGCATGATGGTCAAGTCTTCCTGGGGATTCAAAGTCTATGGTATTGATTCTAATATGTAATCATCCCTATAGATAAGGCAGAGATGAATATGAACTTGAAACTGCCATCTCCAGGGACTCTTCCTGACTTCAGCACCTCAGGAAACAGTGAGGAGCCTGCCAGGTGACTCCAAACCCCTCCTGTAGGCGGGATGGAATGGCCCCTTGTGTGTTCAGGTGATGCCCAGGGTAGTCTGGGCTGGATGGAGGTGCAGGGGCATCAGACCTGTAGATCTTGGTGGGGTTGGGGGTGGGTGGAATGTGACTGTGTCTGTCTCTATGATGACAGGATTGTAAAGCCAGGAGGTCTAGAAGCTGAATCCCTGCCCCCACAATGCCTGACAAGACTGCAGATGTTCTGGGTTCCCTGGCTCTCTTTACCTCTCTAGAGAAAGAATCATCCTCCATTAGACAGACGACCCCCCCCCCCCCCCCCCCCGCCCCGTGCATGGCAATTGTGATTGTCACTCCTGTCTTGGGTTTCCTTTGGTACAGTACCGCCTCCACCCTGAGCCTCCTGGTAGATGTGCAGACCAGCAGCAGGATGCAGCCCACCTCTCCCTTGTCCACAGGAACACCATTTCTGGATCCAGGTAGGGACTGCTCATTGTCCAAAACAAGAGATGGAGGGGTTTCCTCCCAGGGCTGTGGCCTCAGGTGCAATGTGGAAAGAGGTTGTTCCAGTTTTCTGGATTCTAGGACTGAGGCTGGGGCTCTGTCCCTTCCTAATGGGACAGGACTTTTTTCATGACATCATCGTGAAGACCTATAATTACCCAAAATATAGTTGCTAGGCTGGAGGTGTGACTTAGTTGCTGAGGATTTATCTCGAATGCACAAGACCTTGGGTTGGATCCCTAGCAGGGTATACACGGGGCTTAGTACTGTAATCCACTGCTGAGCATGGCAGTGTGTGTCTATAATCCAGTGCTGACTGAGCATGCAGTGTGTGTCTGTAATCCAGTGCTGACTGAGCATGGCAGTGTGTGTCTGTAGCATGGCAGTGTGTGTGTCTCTCTTCCAGTGCTGAGCATGCAGTGTGTGTCTGTAATCCAGTGCTGACTGAGCATGGCAGTGTGTGTGTCTGTAATCCAGTGCTGACTGAGCATGGCAGTGTGTGTGTGTCTGTAATCCAGTGCTGACTGAGCATGCAGTGTGTGTCTGTAATCCAGTGCTGAGCATGCAGTGTGTGTCTAGTGTCTGTATTCCAGTGCTGAGCATGCAGTGTGTGTCTGTAATCCAGTGCTGACTGAGCATGGCAGTGTGTGTGTCTGTATTCCAGTGCTGAGCATGCAGTGTGTGTCTGTAATCCAGTGCTGACTGACTGAGCATGCAGTGTGTGTCTGTAATCCAGTGCTGACTGACTGAGCATGCAGTGTGTGTCTGTAATCCAGTGCTGACTGACTGAGCATGCAGTGTGTGTCTGTAATCCAGTGCTGACTGACTGAGCATGCAGTGTGTGTCTGTAATCCAGTGCTGACTGACTGAGCATGCAGTGTGTGTCTGTAATCCAGTGCTGACTGACTGAGCATGCAGTGTGTGTCTGTAATCCAGTGCTGACTGACTGAGCATGCAGTGTGTGTCTGTAATCCAGTGCTGACTGACTGAGCATGCAGTGTGTGTCTGTAATCCAGTGCTGACTGACTGAGCATGCAGTGTGTGTCTGTAATCCAGTGCTGACTGACTGAGCATGCAGTGTGTGTCTGTAATCCAGTGCTGACTGACTGAG